GCTAGAATTACAGGCATGAGCGGTACTGGAGGTTTGCTTTTCTTTGTTATTATAAAGGTGATGTACAGAGGGATTATGAGTCAGATAATGAATACATTTCCTTTCTTTTTTGTCAGTCACAGGGCTTGAACTCTGGGCCTGGGCGCTGTCCTTGTGCTCTTCAGCTCAAGGCGAGCGCTCTACGGCTTGAGCCACAGCGCCACTTCTGGTTTTCTGGTGGGTTACTGAAGATAAGAGTTTCACGGACTTTCCTGCCCAGGCTGGCTTTGAACCGTGATGCTCAGATCTCAGCCTCCTCAGTAGCTAGGATGACAGGCGTGAGCCACCGGCGCCCGGCTACATTTCCTTTCACAGTGTCTTGCACCCCCTCCCAGTCCCTCCCTCCCATGTCCACCCACAATGCAATTCATTTTCATCAGCATCCACTGAGCTCCAATGCTGGGCTATTTTACCCTTTTTCCCTCAGGTTCTGTGCCCACCTCCCCGCCCCCTGGACTGGAGTTCTGAACTCAGGGTCTAACACTTGCAGACACTTTACCATTTGAGCTATGTACTCCAACTCACTTTTACTTTAGTTATATTTCTTCTTTGTGAACCAAAACACAAAACTTAGTGTCTCATGCTTTTTACTTGAGCCATTCCTTCATTTCTGTTTTTCTGCCAATTAACTGGAGATAAGTCTCTTGGAGGACTACAAATGTGGCTCAGTGGTAGAGTGCTTGCCTCGCATGCATATAGCCCTGGGTTCGATTCCTCAGTACCACATATACAGAAAAAAACAGAAATGGTGCTGTGGCTGGAGTGGTAGAGTGCTAGCCTTGAGCAAAAGAAGCGCAGGGACATGCCCAGGCCCAGAGTGTAAGCCCCAGAACTGGATTGGTTGGGACTGGCTTTGAACCACAATCCTCAGACCTAAACCTTGTAAGTAGCTGGGATTTTAAGTGTGAGCCATTGGCACTTGGCATGGACATTTTATTTGTTTTTGCTAGTGCTAGAGCTTGAAGTCAGGGCCTAGGTGCTGTCCCTGAGCTTCTTTTGCTCAAGGTTGGTGCTCTACCACTTAAGCCACAGCACCACTTGTGGCTTTTTCTGAGTAGTTTGTTGTAGATAGGAGTCTCGTGGACTTTGCTGCCTGTGCTAGATTCAAATCACAATCCTCAGATCACAGTCTCCTAGTTGGGATGACAGGCATGAGCCACCGGCACCCAACAGCCCTATCACTTTAAGTCCAAGTTTACCACTGGCTTTATGAGATGTGAAGGAAACCAGGGGTACAGCTTTCAATGCTGTCAAGATAAGTCATATGGATGAGTATTGCACATACGATAGGAGAGCAGACCATGGTCACCCCTGACCTGAAGTACTGAGACCTGCAGCCCCTGGCTCTCACCTTTTTACTGTAGACACAGGCTGAACCTTGGATAAGCAGTGCAGCCTCAATGAAGTTCATTGTGGTTTTGCCTTCATCAAAAGAAATGCAGATCTGGTCCAGCTGCAAGAAAGAACACCGGTGCAGGAGAAGCCAAAGACCGTCTGTGCTTAATTCCTCCTGGGTAGCGCTGCACGGACCACTCCAGCTTTGCTCTGGAGTCTGCCTGGGTTGTCTCCAGAGGGGCAGATCTTTGTGATGTCTTAGGTCCTCTGAAACCTAGTGAACTGGGGGAGGAAGGTCCCCCCAAGGATCCTGGCTGAAGATGTTTCCCACTGCACCCAGCTTGAGGCCAACTGGGACAAACTCCAGCAGGAAGAACCCAACCCGAGAGAATGGAGGCAGAAAAATGCTGAGGTCTAAACCCTTGAGGGGAGAACCCAGCAAAGAGTCCTGAGGGATCTTCCTTGAGCCTCTCTGAGCCTCAGTTCTATGTCACTCCTTAGAGCGTGGTCCTGGGAGTCTATGCTCAGCCTGCTCCTTCGCAGGGTGTATCTTCTACAGGGTCCATCTTGTGTATTGGTGTGTTTGAGCGACTCATAAACCCTAAGGCTCTGCATTTATAATTCCCCACTAAGAATTTCCACATATCTCAAAAAGAACGTTTTTCAAGGTAATGGAAATTGAACCGAAGGCCTCATATATGCTAGCCTTTTTTTTTTTTTTTTGTCGTTTGTGGGGCCTGAACTCTGGGCCTGGGCGCTGTCCCTCAGCTCTTCAGCTCAAGGCTAGCGCTCTACCACTGGAGCCACAGCAACACTTCCAGCTTTTTCTGCTTATGTGGCGCTGAGGAATCGAACCCAGGGCCTCCTGCATGCAAGGCAAGCGCTCTACCACTGAGCCACCTTCCCAGTCCTATGCTAGACTCTTACCCCTAAGTAACACTCCCAGCTCACAAACATTTTCCTCTTACAACCCACCATCTCCTCCAAGACCGGACCCCCCTTCTGTCCTCCTCTCATGAGCAGTACTTTGAAGCTCCACACGTTTTTCTGAGTGCTGCGGCTCTGCTTCTCCCTCTGCCTGGGATGCCCCCACCCTGTCTCCAGTGCAAACCCGCAGGCTCTCCCTCAGCACCTGGACCTCTTTGTTGCCCCATGAGTGTGTTCTAGTTGCACCACTTCCGAGCTTCTGCTTCCTTAGGGGCCTGTGAGATGCACGAAGGTAATTCCAGCCTATAGTTCAGTGTGAGACGCTAGTGTCAGATAAATATCTGATGAGGTGGTGATGTCAGAGCTAAGCTTAAAAAATGGGTAACTCCCTAGGCAAGTAAAAAAAAAGAAAGGCATTCTGGGAAGAGAAATCCCCCATGAAAAGGCAGTCAGCAGAGACAATAACACTATTTAGGAAAATGAGCATTACACCAATGTGGCTGAAGTGTGGGGGAGGAGAAGATACCGGGCACTGTGATAGTCCCAGTCAGGGAACCGTTGGGGAGGAGGCCAGCAGGGAGAGCTGCTTCCCCTCATTCATGAAGAGCAGAGGCGTTCGGCAGATCAGGGGGAAGTGACAAGAGGGGACAGGAGCACTACAGTCTACAGAAGAGCAAGGCTCCAGAGGACCAGGACTAAAAGAAGGGAATGTGCAGGAGGTCCTTCTCTTCTGCAAGTCCTGGGGCTTGAACTCAGGACCTGGACACTGTCCCTGAGCTTCTTTTGCTCAAGGCTAGCATTTACCACTTAGCCACAGCACCACTTCTGGCTTTTTCTGTGTATGCGGCACTGAGCTATCAAACCCAGGGCTTCATGCATGTCAGGCAAGCACTCTACCACTGAGGCACATTCCCAGCCCTATCACCAATGGCAAACACAGTGACAGAAAGCAGATAGGACTTTAAGAATATCAATTATCTTTCTGGTATCTACAAATTATTTTTCTAAATTACACTAATTCATAACACAAAATACACACACAAAACAATGTTTGGCCAAAATAAGCACCAAACATATGACACACACAACTCTATGTAGCCATACTGCCTTAGAACCGATCTTCCCACAAGTGCAAATCCCATCAAAGCATGGATTACTGTTTACTATGTTAATTTCCTTTAGAGGTTGACATACTTTTTTTTGGGGGGGGGTACAGTCGTGGGGCCTGAACTCTGGGCCTAGGCGCTGTCCCTCAGCTCTTCACCTCACGGCTAGTGCTCTACCACTTGAGCTACAGTGCCACTTCCAGCTTTTTTTTTTTGCATATGTGGTGCTAAGAAATTGAACCCAGGGCCTCATGCATGTAAGGCAAGCACTCTACCACTGAGCCACCTTCCCAGCCCTGACATAGACTTTTGGCACAAAACTAATATTCAACAATAGTGAGTAAATGAGCAGTGAAATGAATTCTGGCAAATGTGTAGAAAGCAAATGAAGGGCATAGACGAACTAGACGGCAGGCTGCACCTGAGGTGTGGCTCATGTGGAATAGCGCCAAGCAGTTGGGTAAAAAAGCCCAGGAGAGTGTGGCCCTGAGTTCGAGCCCTATTACCAGTACATAAAGGGAAAAATGCCCGAGCCAGCCAAGAATGAGCTTGGTAAGCTTGGGACGCCACAGGTTTAAAAGAAATAGAGCCGTGGGTCAGTAGCTCACGCCTGTCATCCTAGTCAGAAGGTTGAGATCTGAGGACAGCGGTTCAAAGCCAGCCCGGGCAGCAAAGTCTGTGAGACCCATCTCCAATTAACTAACCACAGAACCGGAAGTGGCACTGAGGCTCGAGGGGAAAAAAAAAGTGGAGGGGGAAGGGGAGGAAGAGGGGGGGGAAGGAAGAGGGGGAGGGGGAGAAAAGGGAAGAGGATGGGAGGGGAGGGGGAGGCGGCGGCGATCTGAGGATGACAGGCTAAGAGCACGCAGGGCGGGCGGCCTGCCGCGGCGGTGGACACCAGCCCCGGCCGGGAGCGCCAGGGCCACGCCTGACGGCGGAGCCGCAGACAGAGGCAGACTAGACGGAGGACCGGCTCCAGAGGCCGAGCCCGGCCGAGAGCCGATGTGGGCGGCCCGGGCGCCCGCGCCGCCCCGGCCCCGGGCGCCCCGCGCCGCCCTTACCTCCTCCAGATACTCGCCCAGCTGGGCCGCCACGTCCACCTCCCAGTTCTTGGTGAGGTCACGAATGGGCTGCAGGAGGTGGGCGAAGCGCGCCTCCGCGTCCTCCATGGTCGCGGGCGCGCCGCCCGGGGCAGCGGGGCCAACTTCGGAGCGGGCCGCGGGCTCAGCGCCACTCTAGTTCTGGCGCCATTTTGCCGTTCCCGCCCAGGAAGTGCGTGCGCAGGGCGCCGCGCGCAGCTCGACGGCGTAAAGCGGACTGAGGCCGTGAGGTGCGAACACCCACGCCGCCCGCCGGCCGCCGGCCGCAGTGCGGGGCCGCCGGGGGAGGGGCGGGGATTCGGTTATGGGATGGTATACAGTGCAGGGGCGGTAGGAGGGCGGGGCTAGCTGAGTCTGGGCGGGGCCGGAGGGCGGGACGAGGGGCGGGGCCACGCCGCGGGGCGGGGCCTACGGCCCGGCTACAGTTGTGGGCGGGGCAGGCCCGCCGCTCGGGTGGAATGCAGGGGGCGGGGCGTGGTGGCGGGCGCTCCGGGCCCTGGTCCATCCGGCTTCGTAGCGGACATGGCTGGCTCCCGGCTCCCGCGGCAGCTTTTCCTCCAGGGTGTGGCCGCGGTGTTCATGTTCGCCTTCGCTTCCCTCTACACGCAGATCCCGGGTGAGGGCGCCGGCGTGGGGCAGCGCCCCTCCCGCACACGAGCCCCGGCGTGGCCTCGCCCCTCCAGCCTGCGCCCGCGCGGTGTGGGAGGGCGGGAGGCCCGGCCTCGACGCGTGGGCCTCACGGGTGTAGCAGCAGGGAACGTGCGGTGGTCCGTCCCGCGGGGCTGGGCTCCCACGCGGGCGGGGAGCGGGGGCCGGACTTCCTCCCAGACCTGGTGGGCAGGTAGGGAAAGGAGAGGCCCGGGCCTCGGGGACCCCGTGTGCTTGTCAAGTCCGCGGTGACTGCCGGCTTCGCGGGGGGAGGGGGGGGCTGTCCCGGGCCCGTCCCGGGCCATCCCTGACACACCTTCCCACAGGCCTCTACGGCCCCGATGGCATCCTCCCCGCGCGGAGGACGCTGAGGCCGCAGGGTAAGGGGCGCTGGCAGCAGCTGTGGGAGACGCCAACGCTGCTGTGGGAGGCACCGAGGCTGGGGCTGGACACAGCCCAGGGCCTGGAGCTGCTGACCCTGACGGGCACGGTGCTGGCCCTGGGTGCCCTACTGCTACGCCCTCTGCGCCACCCCCTGGTCTACCTGCTGCTCTGGGCTGCCTACCTGTCAGCCTGCCAGGCAAGTAGGACCTGAGTCCCTCCGGCCCCCATCCCGGGCACACACCAGCTCCCTGACAGCCGTTCTTCCCGCAGGTGGGCCAGGTATTCCTCTATTTCCAGTGGTGAGTGACTCCTGAGCCAGGGTTACTGAGGCTGGGCAGGGTGTTTGCTTCTCCTGGGAAGACCTGAGGGGAGCACCCTTGTAGGGAGGACCCTTTGTCCCATTTCCTCTCCCCATAGGGATTCCTTGCTGCTGGAGACTGGCTTCCTGGCTGTGCTGGTGGCACCACTGACGCTGCCGCCCCGTCACAAGCAGGGCAGGGCCTCACCCCACGAAGGCCTCCCCTTCTGGCTTGTGCGCTGGCTGCTGTTCCGCCTCATGTTCGCCTCTGGGGTGGTCAAGCTGACCAGCCGCTGCCCCACGTGGTGGGGGCTCACTGGTGAGTGTCTAGGTCAGAATCTGGGGTGGTCAGGCTGACCGGCCGCTGCCCCGCGTGGTGGGGGCTCACTGGTGAGCGTCCTGGTCAGAATCTGGAGTGGTCTTGACTCTGCCCAGCTTTGACCATCACTCATTGCTCATAGCCCTCACCTACCACTATGAGACACAGTGCCTGCCCACACCTGCTGCCTGGTTCGCCCACCACCTGCCAGTCTGGCTGCACAAGCTCAGCGTGGTCGCCACCTTCCTCATCGAGATCGCAGTACCCCCTCTGTTCTTTGCCCCCATTCGCCGCCTGCGTTTGGTTGCCTTCTATGCTCAGGTAAGGATGTAGTTTTCACCTCTGTTCAGTGGGTCCCGCTGAGACAAAGTCGCCCTGGAGGAGTGGTGGCTGGGGTCAGAAGCCTGGCAGGTACAGTGATGTGTTACTGGAGTGTGTCCCACAGTGGGGCTGCAACCACACCGCAGATGTTGGGGCCGCAGTTGGGGGAACAGGGGAGCACGGAGTGGATACGGCCCTTCCAAGTTGTGACTGCAGACCCACCCTCACCCTAGGTGCTTTTGCAAGTCTTGATTATCATCACTGGCAACTATAACTTCTTCAACCTGCTAACGCTGGTGCTCACCACTGCCCTCCTAGATGATCATCACCTATCTGCTGAGCCTGGCTGTAGCCGCCATAAGAGGACGCCTACCTGTAAGTACTAGCCCATCAAGACTGCTGGCTGTCCCAGCTCCCTACCTTCTCAGGCTGTCTCCTTCCTACCAAAAGCCCCTGAAGGTACCAAGCTTCATCCTGGCATCCTGGCTGTGGACCCTCAGTCAACCTGTGATTGTCCTACCCTATCTATAGCCTGGCCCAAGGCCCTCTTGGCCACACTGTCCCTGCTACTGGAACTAGCCATCTATGGGCTGCTGGCCTATGGCACTGTACACTATTTTGGCCTGGAAGTTGACTGGCAGCAGCGAACCATCCACTCCAGAACCAGTGAGTGCCCACTGGGGGGAGCCCAAGGGCAGGGCTGGACCAACCCCCTTACATCCCCGTCCTCCGCAGCCTTCACCTTTCACCAGTTCTCCCAGTGGCTGAAGACAGTGACCCTGCCCACCATGTGGCTGGGGGTGGTCTCCCTGGCCTGGGAGCTGCTGATGACCTTCTGGAGGTGTGTGCTCAAGCGTGGGGGGGACAGCTTCCAGGCCAGGGCAGACCTCACGCTCAGCATCTCTTTCCCAGGTGGACCCAGGTACAGGGGTGGCTGCGGAAGCTCTGCGCAGGGGTCCAGCTCTCTGTGGTGGGCGCTGCCACAGTTGCCTTGTTCTTGATCAGCCTGGTAGGTAGCAGTGCAGGAAATGGAGTCTGGGAAGGGGTCTGGGAGACAGCACTAATCCTCTGCCCACCTGTCCTGCAGGTACCCTACTCCTATGTGGAGCCTGGGACCCATGGACATCTCTGGACTGGGGCCCACCACCTGTTTGGTGCTGTGGAGCACTTGCAGCTGGCCAATTCATACGGCCTCTTCCGCCGGATGACTGGGCTGGGTGGGCGGCCTGAGGTGGTGCTGGAAGGCAGCTTCGACGGTCACCACTGGACAGTGAGTCCTCCCAATGGGTGGGGCGCAAGGGCTCGGCCTCCCTGCCCTCGCTGAGCGTGAATTCATCTGGCAGGAGATCGAGTTCATGTACAAGCCTGGGAATGTGAGCCGACAGCCCCCTGTCCTGGTGCCCCACCAGCCACGCCTTGACTGGCAGATGTGGTTTGCAGCCCTTGGCCCCCACACACACAGTCCCTGGTTCACCAGCCTCGTGCTCCGCCTGCTGCAGGGCAAGGAGCCAGGTGAGGGGTGGGCCAGAGGGGGCTGGGAAGGGCTGCCTGGGGGGATAGGACCATACTGAGCCTCATCACCTGCCGCAGTAATCCGCCTGATCCAGAGCCACGTCACCAGTTACCCCTTTCACAAGCAGCCACCTACCTACATCCGGGCCCAGCGCTACAAGTATTGGTTTTCACGGCCTGGAGAGCAAGGGTGAGGCCAGGGTACTAGGGAGAGATCTGGGGCCTAGGATCCAGCCATGCACTCATATCCAGTTCTGTTGTAGCCGGTGGTGGCGACGGCAGTGGGTGGAGGAATTCTTTCCCTCTGTGTCCCTGGGGGACCCAACGCTGGAGATGCTGCTCCAACAGTTCGGGCTTCAGGTTAGAGGATGTCAGCCAGGCTCGGGGAGGTAGCAGGGTAATCCTTGGCACAGGGGAAAAACCTGTGGGCCTTCCTCAATCCTGTCCCACAGGACAAGAACCCACCTCGGGCACACAGCCCCAGCAGAGTCCTGGCCCGGGCCTTGCACTGGGTGAGGACACAGCTGTCTCCACTGGAGCCTCCCACACTGCTCTGGAGTCTCCTGGCGGCTGTCGGAGCTATCAAATTGGTGCAAGCGTTGCTGGCCCCCGGGCCCTTCCAGTCCTCACCTCTGGCCAGAGGGGAGAAGCAAAGACCAGCCTCCAAGGACTCCAGAGCAGCTTCCGAGCCAGCTGCCCCAAGCTCCAACCCGGGCAATGGTTCCCGGCCCCCCCGGCGGAAAAAATAGAGGTGCTTTCACCACCGGTCGCCAGAGGGTAGGGCTCCCAGACCTCTGCCCTGCAGCAGGGATGCAGGTCGGCCACTGTGCCTTAGCCAGGCCTACGGGTTCACACTCAGGTCCGAGTCGGGGGACTCCAGGGTGCTACCTTGAGGACACACCAGTCCTCTCCTGCCAATCAGAACCCTGTCCACTCACATATGCACCCTCACCCCAGGTGGTGGGCCTGCAGCAGCCTTACTCAGGCCCCTCCTGGGATATAATCTGCCTGGGGAGCCCTGCCCTTCCCCTGACTGTAGAGGCCTGAGTCTGGAGCCCCCACCTCAGCCCCAGTGTGGGGGAGTGGAACTCACCGAGGAAGGGAGCAGGAAAGGCAGACATGAGCAATGGTGGATCCATATGCACCTGCCCCTTCTTCAGACCTGTCCTTGAAGCTTGTTCTTCAGACCCACACCAATAAAGGCTTCCTTTGTGTGGCCCTGTGCTGTGCTTCCTTCCTAAGAACGGTGGGCATGGGCACAGCCCAGCTGTTCACCACTGACCTCACTTCTCAAGGGGCTTCTTCCTTGTCCCTCAGTTTTCTCTGTAAAATGGACAAGAGGACCTGACCACAAAATGCCCCAGGGCCACACAGGGATAGATTGGACTCATCAGGGCTGTGAGGCCACTGCCAAAAGATGGAGCCAGAACCTCCCAAGGCCGAAAGCCTGCCCAGAATAGGCCGGAGGGTGAAAATGAGTGGGTCAGGAGGACCCTGGATCCTGGGTAGAAGAAAGGTGTGTCAGGCCCATCAACTCTGTCCAGGAAAGAAACCCTGAGTGAAACACCCACCATGTGGGTCTCGGCTGGGTTCTTGGGGTCAGGTTGTCAGTCATCACTGCCCTCCTAGAACCTTGCAGCACGTCTGCTTCCGGTCAAGCCTGTTCCCTTCCTCAGCAGACCCCTGGGAGGCCCCCACTTCCGCTAGGATCCAGTTGCTGTCAAGGGGCTCTTACGCAGGCAGCAAGTGAGCCAGAAACTGGCTTTGGCTTCAAACAATAATCTTTAAAATTGAAAAACTTGTTCTTGGGGCTGGCTGCGTGGCTCAGTTGATAGAGCACCAGCCCGTGAGCAAACTATCAGGTACCAAGTTTGAGTCCTGGTCTCACAACAAAAAAAAAAATTTTAAAAAAAACTTGTTGTTTCTCTTAGGCTTTTAAGCCCAGTTTATAAATATCTCCTGGGTTTTCTGTATCTGCTTCCTTGGTAATTTTCTAGTCTACTCATTTAAAGTATAGTTCACTGAAGAATGTGTTTGGACCAAGGTGCATTGTAAGCATGTGTGGAAATATAATGAAGTCATTTTGTATAATTAATAAATGCTAGAAAAAACAAAGCACACAACTCAGTGGCTTTCAGTGTATTTACAGAACAGGGCATCACCCTAAAAATCCTCAGCAGGTATTAACTCCTCCTCTTCTGAGCCTTATGCCAGCACCAGTCTGGACATTTCCAGTTCACTGAATCATATTCAGGCTAGAGTATTCAGCCTAGCATGCATGAAACCTAGGTTCCAGCCTTATCACCTACAAAAAGAAAAAAAAAAAAAAACTAAGCCTTATGTGTCTGGTTTCTCTTACTCAGCATAATTTTGGTGGTGGTGGACACAGGACTTGAACTCAGGGCCTGGACCCTGTCCCTGAGCTCTTTTACTCAAGCCTAGTGCTGTACCACTTTGAGCCACAACACCACTTCCAGTTTTCTGGTAGTTAATTGGAGATAAAAATCTCATGTGGGGGCTGGGAAGATGGCTCAGTGGAAGAGTGCTCACTTGTATGTATGAGGCCCTGGGTTCAGTTCCTCAGCACCACATAAGCAGAAAAAGCCAGAAATGGTGCTGTGGCTCAAGTGGTAGAGCACTAACCTTGAGCTGAAGAGCTGAGGGACAGCGCCCAGGCCCAGAGTTCAGCCCTCAGGACTGACATAAACAAAAACCAAATATTCATACCAGTACTATTCATCATAGAAAAAATGGAAACAAAAGATTCGCTGAAGGCTGGGCACCAGTGGCTTACACCTGTAATCCTAGCTACTCAGGAGGCTGAGATCTGAGGATCTCAGTTCAAAGCCAGCCCAGGCCATAAAGTCCATGAGATTTTTTTTTTCTTTTGTTGGTCATGGGGCCTGAATTCTGGGCCTGGGCGCTGTCCCTCAGCTCTTCAGCTAAAGGCTAGTGCTCTACCACTTGAGCCACAGTGCCACTTCCAGCTTTTTCTGTTTATGTGGTACTGAGGAATCAAACCCAGGGCCTCATGCATGCGAGGCAAGCACTCTACCACTGAGCCACCTTCCTAGCCCACAAGATTTTGTGTGGACATCTATTTTCTCTTTTAAAACTGATAGCTCCAACTAGACCAGTAGATCTTCATTTCATTTACCAATTTTAAGGGCCATAAAATTTTTATTGGTTTATATCAGTCAGTTATACAGGGAGTGGGTGGGATTTCTTTTTTTTTTTCTTTTCTTTTCTTTCTTTTTTTTGCCAGTCCTGGGGCTTGAACTCAGGGTCTGGAACTACAATGCCACTTCTGGCTTTTTCTGTGTATGTGATTCTGAGGAATCGAACCCAGAGCTTCATGCATGCTAGGCAAGCACTCTACTACTGAGCCACCTTCCCAACCTGGGTAGGATGTCATTGTCACATTTCCACAGGTTTATACTGTATACTAATCAATTTTACCCCCTCTGTATTACTCCTGCACCCTTCCCCATAAGAAATAGTGTTCCCAGTCAGACACTAGTGGTTCATACCTGTAATACTAGCTACTTAGGAGGCTGAGATCTGAGGATCCAGGTTCAAAGCCAGCCCAGGGAGGGAAGTCTGTAAGATTATTATCTCTTAACTACCAAAACAAAAAACAGAAAAACCAAAACTGGATCTGTGGCTCAAGTACTAGACCGCCAGCCTTGAGCTGCTCAGGAATAGCCCCAGGTTCTAAGGTTCAAGCCCAAGACTGGCACACAGAAAAGAAAGACTTCTCAACAGGTTTCTTTGTTACATTTTCATAGTTGCAAATAGTCTAATTTCTGACAGTGTTCACTCTTCTTTATCCCTGACACACGTTCCCTGCTAGTTCCTCTGGCCAGAGTAGATTCCTCTTACCTTTCATACCTCTATGGATCATTTGAGTTTCTTTGTGCTGTTCTCATATGTCTTTTAGATATTGTAAAAATGGATTATGTGCAAGCTGGGCATTGGTGGCTCACGCCTGTAATCCTAGCTACTCAGGAGGCTGAAATCTCAGGATCAAGGTTCAAAGCCAACCCAAGCAGGAAAATCCATGAGATTCTTATCTCTAATTAAACCAGAAGTGGAGCTGTGGCTCAAGTGACAGAGCACTATCCTTGAGCAAAATAGCTCAGGGACAGTGTCCAGACTCTGAGTTCAAACCTCAGGACCTGAACACACACACACACACACACACACACAATTTGCAACTATGAAAATGTAACAAGAAAACCTGTGGTTAATTGGTTGACTTGGGCAGTTAAATGTGTAGAATCCCAGTTCCCACAAATATATCCACTGACTCAGATAAACAGGCCGGGGAGATTTTATTAGCTGCATGGGGCTGCGCCCCACTCAAGCATCGCAGCCAGGCTCTCTCACAGCAAGACTTATAAAGGAAAGAGGCCATGTGCAGGTGGTGGTGCACAGAAAGCCACACACGGGTGGCATGTGTACATGACAAATAGCAATTTCCAATAAACAAAGCAGTAAGTCTGAAACAAAGACCATGTGCTGGATTTTCTCTTTTCTTAGGGGTTTAACTGATGTTTACTAAAACATGCTCCAACCTTCCTATTTACCAAAACATCCTATTTGCCGAAGCCGCATCTCACATATCCCAAGCTTCCTATTTACCAAAACACCTTTTCATTTTTGTCAGTTGTGGGTCTTGAACTGATACATGTGTCTCTACTCCATCACAATTATTCATGTCTAAGGGCTGAGATAAGGGTCCACTTACATTCTTCTGCTTGTGGATAATTTTCCCAACATCATACATTGAAGAGATTATCCTTTCTCCACTCTGTACTCTTGGCATATTTATTGAAAATCTATTTATTATAAATGTATGGATTTACTAGACCTGCCTTCGGTTCAATCTGTCTCTATATGTCTGCATTTGTGTGGTGGTGTGTGTGTGTGTGTGTGTGTGTGTGTGTGTAATTTTTGTATGTGTGATGCTGGGGAAGAAATTAAGACCCCACATAGGATGCTAGGCAAGCACTCTATACTGTGGTGTACCTCCAGCCCTATAGTACATTTTGAAATCGGGTATTGTGACACCTCCAATTTTGTTCTTTATACTTAAAATTGTTTGGCTGTTTAGAATTTTTGGTAATTTCATATTAACTTTAGAATTTTCTACTTTCAAAATTCTTTTATCTGGGGCTGGGCCAGTGGCTCAGTGTTAGAGCGCTTGCTTTGCATTCCTGAGGCCCTGGGTTTAATGCCTCAGCACCATCTCAGCACCACATAAGCAGAAAAAGCCGGAAGTGGCACTGTGGCTCAAGTGGTAGAGTGCTAGCCTTGAGCTGAAGAGCTGAGGGACAGCGCCCAGGCCCAGAGTTCAGGCCAATGACCATCACCACCAACAACCAAAAAAAACAAACAAAAAAAAAACTTTTATCTGTCTAATCAGTACTGAGGCTTGAATTCAGGGTCTCTCTTTTTTCTCTTTTTCTCTCTCTTTCTGCCTTTTTGTCTCCCCCCCCCACACACACTTTCTCACATGGCTTTCACTCAAGGTTCACTCTGCTACTTGAACCATACTTTCCATTTGGGCTTTTTACTGATTTTTTTTTTTTGTCCTGTCGTGGGGCTGAGGAGCTCTTCAGCTCAAGGCTAGCGCTCTACCACTTGAGCCACAGCGCCACTTCCGGCTTTTTTCTTTTTGCTTATGTGGTGCTAAGGATGAGGAATCGAACCCAGGTCCTCATGCATGCAAGGCAAGCGCTCTACCACGGAGCCACCTTCCCAGCCCTTACTGATTAATTGGAAATAAGAGTCTCATGGATTTTTTTTGGGGGGAGGGGGGTTGGTGGTGGGTCTTGAACTCTGGACCTGGGCACTATCCCTGAGCTCTTCAGCACAAGGCAAGTGCTCTACCACTGGAGCCACAGCACCACTGCTGGTTCTCTGAGTGGTTTATTGGAGATAAGAGTCTCAAGGCCTTTCCTGCCCAGGCTGGCTATGAGCTTCAATCCTCAGATCTCAGGCCCCTGAGTAGCTAGGACTACAGGTGTGAGCCACCAGTGCGTGGCTTCTCATGGATTTTTTTCCCAGGCTAAGTTTGAACTGTGATCTTTGGATCTCTCTCTTTATTATCTAGGACTATAGGCATGAGTCCAGCTATTCCTATTTTTACAACTATTGTAAATAGGATTATTTTCTTTCTTTTCAAATAGTTCATTGTCAGTGTATAGAAACAT